GAGAGCTGCCCACAGTTTGGGGTTATAGCTAAAAGACTGAGTTTCTGCCACTCCTACTCTGGGGCTGTCAGGGCCTGGTCACTTACTGGTAAGTGCTGCAAAGTGGCTGAGTCCACATCGAATGTGGGAAACCCGGACTTCTGGGTTGAACTCCGTCAAGCCAAAGAGAGTGGGTGGAATCATTTCTGGAAGAGCAGTTTCCACCAGGTTTGGTCCTTTCCCAAGAATTCCATATCCCCAGACAAAAACATGTCCTTCCCCTACATTACAGGAAAAGCAACGGTTAGTAAGTCAATCCAAAGAGAGCCCTCCCTCACCAGAAATTCAAACTGTACCATCAAGATTCATTATATCCACACAGATTTTTTTTCTTCTCTTCCTTGCTTGGCAGGAACATGCTAACAGAGATTTAAACTAATTCCCTCTCCCCACTCAAATTTTTGCTTGTGGAGTCTGTCTAGCCAGCTAACCCATCTCAGAATGCAAACTTCCCACATCTTGAGCATAACCTGGAAGGGACCAGTCTATCAACCAGCCAGAAAACCCAGCACAGAGAACTCGAGGACGGTTTTTCCCCTACTGACAGCTTTAAGTTGCACACTGATCAGAAGACTGAGCCAAAAACACATAAATAGTTTCTGCCCCGATTCTTAAAACCCTTGGAAATAGTTTTTCAGTTATAAAAAGTTTAATATTCATCAGTGGTGCCAGACATTTAATCCCAAGGGCACCGATCTCAGTTTCCAAACTCTGAGGCTCTTCTCCCATCTGCCTTTTATTTCTTGGCTGGAGAAGGCAGAGCTGGAGTCGCTAGCCAGGCTGAGTGAGGAGGATAAAGTAGTTTTCATTCTCCACTCCAGAAGTCTGCAAGAGTATGACTAAGCTCTGTTTCTGTCTGTCTTTATAAATCACAAGCTGTTATCCTTCTATCAAGAATTTCACCCTTACTCTGTAATTATTGAACTCCATCCAACTAGATCTTCCCATGACACGTTCCCTTCTCTAGGCTGAGGTCTACAATCTGTGAATCCAATGGACACTGGCCACTCCCCCCAACCAAACTAGTTACAGCTTCCCAATGAGCTGCCAGAAGAGGCCTCACCATTGAGCACAGCACAGCCTGTACCACCACATGCAGCCTGCCGCACCTTCCCCACTCCTGAGAAGGGTAAGCACCGGGGCACATTCACCTGAATCAAAGAAAGGGGCCACACTGTTAGAAAAGCAAAGAGGTGGGGACCAGGCAGCACTCTGGACTTAAGTACAGAGTAGTAAGCCCCACTTCATTCCTTCACTCCACAAATATGTCCTGAACATCTAATGTGGGCTAAGCATCATGCTAGGTGCTGGGAGTACAAGAGGGAGCAAAAGAGATCTGGTTTCCACTCTTAGAGAATTCTAGCCTAGCAGAAGAGGCAGATGTCAAGTAAAATTAATACAAAATTACATTTGTGTTAAATACAATGAAGGAAAGTTCAAGGGCCTCTGAGAGTGTGACAGAGAACCTGACACGGGGTCAGGGGAGATGAAGGAGTCTGGATAAGGCTTGTTCGGGTGGGAGACGCACAAGGGAGGTACAAAGGCTGCCAGCCAGAAACCAGCAGAGGGAGAGGTTGAAATGATGAGAGAGAAGGCCCCACAGATGGAGTAAGGTTCTCAGAAAGGATCTTGTGCGAAGGATCCAAGGCCTCAAATGGAGCTAGCTCCCTTTTGTGTATGTTTCCTCCATGGTTACAAAGGGAGCACGCCCAAGGTGGATACGGACACAGAAGTGTGTAGGACACCCAGTGCACACAAACAGATGGCAGCTGTCTATTACACTGGAAGCGCGATCTGCTGAGAGAGAGATGGAAGGGTCAGAGGCTTGGAGGGGGAACGCATGGCACACTTAGCTTTCCAGCAGGACTTGGTCTCAACAATTCTGCTGAGAAATTACTTTAGAAAGACAGATTTTAAGTTCCTCAGTGACAGTCTTGAATCTCTACAGCAGGGGTCCTCAAACTTTTTAAACAGGGGGCCAGTTCACTGTCCCTCAGACCTTTGGCAGGCCAGACTGCAGGCCCCGGGACAAGTCAGCTGCTAAGCAGGACAGGTAGCAGTGGCAAAAACACCCGGTAGGCCAGACAAATGTCCTCGGCAGGCCGCATATGGCCCGCGGGTCGTAGTTTGAGGATGCCTGCTCCACAGACTCACTTTCAAATGGAGACAGCTGAAAAAGAACCATCCCTTAGTTGACTCTAAAGGAACAAAGGGGCTTGCTGGCCTGGAAGATCTTGCCTCCATGAAGCAAGGATGTCAGAGCTGGGACCTGGACCAACTGCGGGGCTTATAGAGCATCTCTGCTTAACTCTGCTTTGGCATGGCACCCTCAGCACACACTGGGAAATGCTCTACAAACAGCCGCTGGAAATACCACAGGGGTCAATGACAAGAGGAGGCTCAGGCCATGAGAAGAAATCAAGATGGAATCCATTTTTAAAAATAAATAAATAAATGTAATCTCTAAAAACCCAGGTTGTGGTAAAATGGTTCCCAGTGATCCCATCTCCAGTTATTCACTCTCAGAGGTAATCCCTACCCCTTGTGTGTAAGCTGGATCTAGTGACTTGCTTCTAAGGAACAGAATTCCACCAACAGTGACAAGATGGATGTCACTTCTGAGATTAAATTATGAAATGCTGGCTTCTGCCTTCCTGGCACTCTTCTGCCCTCTCATTTGCTCGCCCTGGTGAAGCCGGCTACCATGCTGTGAGTTGCCCCATGGAGAAGCCACGTGGCAAGGAAGCGTGGAAGGCCTGGCCAACAGCTTCCAGATGGCTGGCTTCCAGCAAGGAAAGGGGGCCTCAGTCCAACAGTCCACCAGGGCCTGCCCCCTGCCAGCCACCACTAGCAGCAGGAGCTTGGAACAGATCCTTCCCAGCTAAACCCTGAGATTACTACAGCCTTTGGCTCAGGGTCTGAGCAAAAGACCCTGCTAAGCTACCCCCAGGTTCCCAACTCACAGAAACTGGGACATGATACCTGTGTGTTGTTTTAATCACTAAGGTTTAGGGTCATGTGTTACATAGCAATTGACAGCATGACATTAAATCTACAGGAAGGTTGGAGATACATTTTTCTCAGGCCTTGGCATCAGGCAGAACAGTACTTCTCCTGAACACCTTATTTGCTATTTATCTTACACCATGTTTTCTTCTTTGTAAGAGAACTCAGAGCCAAATCTGCATACTTTTAGTCACTGTGCCAGACCCCAGAGAAAGCATTTCTTTATTTAATTAGCTAATCTTTAGTTTCCCTTTGAGTTCTTTATCTATTAATATATATTTAAATGTGATCGTATTAAGGAACGTAGTATGTTTCCTAAATACTCCTTGAGACATACTAAAACCTTTACTGAATGAAATACAATATCTGGGATTTGCTTCAAAATAATTCAGGACAGAGAAGGGGATGGAATTACAGATGCAATGAAAGTGGTCGTTACTGATATGGGGCCCTTCGGAAGAGTGATAAATGGTCTGGAATTAGAGAGTGGCAACAGTTGCACAAACTTGTGAATATACTAAATCCACTAAATTGTACACTTTAAAATAGTGAATTATGGTATATGAATTATATTTCCATTAAAAAAATTGGCAATTATTAGGGAATTCTTGAACAGAGGTGATAAGTGGAAAGAGATTAGTTATACAGTAATCGGTTTTTTGTTTACATTTGAAATGTTCCTTAATAACATATCAAAAACCCTACTGCATTGTATCGATAGTGGCTTCCTTTGATGAGAAAGAGGGGGCAGTGCTGGGGAGAGGTCACAAGGCAATGCCACTAGTACTCCAGCATGTGACTTGCAGGAGGCACACAGGTGTCTTCCTCAAGGTGCACACTTAGGAGGCATTGCGTACTTTTCTGCATATATGTTATAATGCAACCAGAGGCACGATGTGACATTATGGGGACTTATACAAACATCCTCATATCCCTTTGAGAATGAGACAGGGGCAGCCAGGGGCAGTGGCCCTCCATGTCGCTAGGCATGGTGGGCACATGCCTGGCTAATTTTTTTTTTTTTTTTGGTAGGGATGGGGTCTCACTATTTCCCAGGCTGGTCTTGAACACCTGGCATCAAGTGATCCTTCTGCCTTGGCCTCCCAAAGTGCTAAGTTTGGCCAGGCGAGGTGGCTCACGCCTGTAATCCTAAGACACTGGGAGGCTGAGGCAGATGTACTGCCTGAGCTCATGACCAGTCTGAGCCAGAGCGAGACCTTGTCTCTAAAAGGGCGTTGTGGCAGGCGCCTGTAGTCCCAGATACTCAGGAGGCTGAGGCAAGAGAATTGCTCAAACTCAAGAGTTTGAGGTTGCTGTGAGCTGTGATGCCATGGCACTATACCAAGGGCAATAAAGTGAGGCTCTGTCTCAAAACATAAATAAATAAATAAAATGAGGTAGGGTATACAGGCATGCCTAAAACACTGATCTAAACCAGTACTGTCTTATGTAATTATTGATGACAATGGCTTTTGAATCTGACCTGCTTTTAAGCTCCATGGAGATTGCCGAGAACTCAGTACCTTGAAGAGGTTGTTTTACAACAGGTTAAGCTAAACAATTTACTTATCAGAACTTGGGAGAGCCTCTAATAAGCATCCTTAACACTTTTATGTTTCCATACTTCCCTCATACCTGTGTAGATTCAGTGACAGAAGCCAGCTGTCGGTACTCAGAGTTTCCCCAACCAAAGAGGCCTCCATCAGCAGACACAGCCAGGCAGCAATCACCGTAGGTGGCCACCTGCACAATGTTCACTCCCGCAAGGTCTCCCTGGAGCTTCGTGGGCACGCTGGTGATATTGTAGTGACCCAGACCTAACACAGGAGAAAACATTTACTTTTAATTATTCATTCTTTTAACAAAAACTTACACAGACTTCCTATGTCATCCACAGTTTTAAGCACTGAACAAGTATCAGTAACAAGTATCCTAAGCACAGAACAAGTATCCTAATCTGTTCCTCTGCATGCTCATATAACTTTTTTCTCCATGTTTTCTCAGAGGCAGAAAAAGGATATAATTTTAACTGGTATATTTTTAAAACCCTTGGAATTTTCTAGGACTGATTCAAGTTAGATAACTTTGCAGGATGAAATATCACTACACAATCAATATATTAGACTTTGCATAAATTACAAGTAATTTTTTTTTGAGACACTATGTTGCCCTCTGTAGAGTGCTGTGACATCATAGCTCACAGCAACCTCCAAGTCTTGTGCTTAAGTGATTCTCTTGCCTCAGTCTCCCAAGTGACTGGGACTACAGGCACCCGCCACAATAACCCAGCTATTTTTTTGTTGCAGTTGTCATTGTTGCTTTAGTTGACCTAGGCAAGGTTCCTATGCAGCCTCAGCATATGTGGCCGGCACCCTACCCACTGAGCTATGAGCACCGCCCTTCTTTTCTTTTTTCTTTTTTTAACAATAATTTCTAATTCACTGCTGGGCTTGCTAGAAAATAAAGGAAATTTCTAAAAGCCCAGTCCATCCTCCACACCACACGCAAAAAACAGTGATCCAAAAACAGCATGGCTAACAGCAAGCAGAGGAAAAGACAGGGCTTGCCCTAAGGACAAACATCAATATGGCACTACAGTGGGGTGTGGGGGTGACCCTGGGCAGCAGCCCACAGCAGAACACAGAACCACAGACTTATGCTTTGAACCAGGACTCCTTAAAGGGGGCTGAGGCAAGAATGAAAAAAAAAAGATGGGGGGCAAGGCAGCATCAGATCGGTAGCACCCCACAGCAACAGGCAAAAGCAAATCCAAGTTCTCTCTGGAGGGAACATCTCCAATTTAGATCCCCAGGGCTTCCACAAATTAAATTCAATAAAATATGAGTTTACAATCAAAATTCACTAACCATGTAAGGAAAAATGCTACTGTGAGTAAAAGTCAACAAAACTAACCAACAACCAAGTTACACTCTCTAGACACTGGAAGTATGACACACAAAATGAAAAATGATTCCATGTGCAACGCTTCTACAAATAAAAGCAGGAATACAAGACTATCAAAAATGAAAAGCAATAAATACTTTAAGAAAATGGGAGGTAAATTTGAAAAGAAAACAATTAGAATTGAAAATTTCAGTTAAAATTAAAAATTCTAATGAACAGGCAAAAACAAAAGCCACAATTTGGAAGACTGTGCAACATAGTGACTGATAAAGAATGCTGGTTTGGCGCCCTTAGCAGGGTGGTTACAGCACCAGCCACATACACCAAAGGTGGTGGGTTTGAACCCGGCCCAGGGCAGCTAAACAACTGCAACAAAAAAATAGCCGGGCGTTGTAGTGGGCGCCTGTAGTCTCAGCTACTTGGGAGGCTGAGGCAAGAGAATCACTTAAGCCCAAGAGTTTGAGGTTGCTATGAGCTGTGATGCCACGGCACTCTACCGAGGGCAACATAGTAAGACTCTGTCTCAAGAAAAAAAAAAAAAGAATACGTAAAGAATTCCTAAAAATTAGTAAGAAAAGGACAAATAAACCAAGAAAACTGGGTCAAGACACCATGTACTCTTCAGAGAAGAAAACTTTAGACAATAAACATATGAAAATACAGTTATTCTCAGTAGTAATGAGGAAAATGCAAATTCAAACCAGTGATATATTATTTCACCCCCTCTAAAGAGGCAAGAAAACATTAAATAGGCAATACCAAGCCTTGGCTAGCCTATATTGAACAAGTCCCTAGTGATATGAGGGTCACCTCTTACAAATATTTTAGAAAACAATAATTTGAATATATATGCATACACTATAACCCAGCATTTTCACCCCAAGAGTCTTCACTATAGCGTCTAAAACTCTTATATAAGGGGACATACAGGTGGTCATAGCAGCACTGCTTGTTACTAACAAAAGGCTATAAACCATCTGTCTATTCAAATTGAAGCACAGTCCATGGCAGAATGTCATACAACTATAAAAATCAATGAACTGCATTCAGCAAAGTAGCAAGATATAAAATCAACACATAAAAATCAATTGCATTTCTTTACCCTAGCAATGAACAATCCAAAATGGAAATTAAGGAAACAATTTACAATAGCATCAAAGAGAATAAAACCCTTAGGAATTAACTTAACGAAGCAAGTCATAGACTTATACAATGAAAACTAGAAAATACTACCAAAAGAAATTTTAAAAGACAAAAATAAAAGGAAAGACATCCTATGTTCCTGGGTTGGAAGACTTTAACACTGTTATGCAATCCCCATCAAAATCCTCACACTGCTTTTTTACAGAAACAGAAAAATGCATCCTAATTCATACGGAATCTCAAGGGACCCCAAATAGTTAAACAATCTTGAAAAACAGAAAAACAAAGTTGAAGGACTCACATTTTCTGATTTCAAAACTTACAACCAAGCTACAGTGATCAAAACAGTATAGTACTGGCATAAAGATGGACATACAGACCAATGGAATTAGAATAGAGCCCAGAAATAAATATTCACATATACGGTCAAATGATCTTCAACAGAACACTCTAGTCAACAAATGGTGCTGGAAAAACTGGATAAACAGATGCAAAAGATTGAAGGCTGACCTTTACCTAATTCCACAGGTATGCACAACTCAAAATAGATCAAAGCCCTAAATACAACAGAAGAGCTAAAACTATAAAACTCTTAGAAGAAAACATGGGGCAAAACTTCGTAACAATGGATTTGGCAATGACTTCTAGGATATGATATCAAAGGCATAGGCAACCAAATAAAAAATAGACAAATTGAAAACATTTGTGCATCAAGACAAACACAACAGAGTAAAAAGGCAACCTACAGAATGGGAGAAAATACTTGTAAATAATATATCTGATAAGGGATTACTAGTATTCTAGAATACATAGAAAATTTCTAAAACTCAACAATAAAACCTGATTTTAAAATGGACAAAACCTGAATAGACATTTCTCCAAAGAAGATATACAAATGTCCAATGAGCACATAAAAAGATGCTCAAAATCATTAAACATTAGGAAAACGCAAATCAAAACTACAAGATACTGCTGGGCAAGGTGGCTCACACCTTAATCCTAGCACTCTGGAAGGCCAAAGTAGGAGGATCCCCTGGGCTCAAGAGTTTGAGACCAGCCTGACTTGGTTTCTACTAAAAATAAAAAAAAATAAAAAACCTGGATGTTAAGGTGGACGCTTGTAGTTCCAGATACTCAGGAAGCCAGACAGGAAGAATTGCTTAAACCAATGAGTTTTTTGGGTTTTCTTGTTTTTTGAGACAGAGTCTCACTCAGTCACCCTAGGTTTGAGTGTCCTTGTGTCACAGCCCACAGCAACCTCAAACTCTTGGGGCGGAAGCAATTCTCTTGCCTCAGCCTCCTACATAGCTGGGACTACAGGCACCCACCACAACATCTGGATATGTTTTTTAGAGACGAGGTCTCTGGGTCAGGCTGGTCTTGAACCCATGAGCTCAGGCAATCCACCCACCTCAGCCTCCCAGAATGCTAGGATTACAGGCATGAGCCATCTTGTCCAGCATTAGGCAATATTATTCAGCCCTAAAAACAAATGAGTTATCAAGCCATGAAAAGACATGGAGGAAATTTAAATGCACATTACTGAGTGAAAGAAATCTATCTGGGAAGGCAACACCCCATATGATTCCAACTATATGACATTTTGCAAAAGGCAGAACCATGGAGACAGTAAAGATCGGTGGTTACCAGGGGTTGAGGGGAGGGAGGGATGAACAGACGGAATGTAAAGGGTTTTTAGGGGAATGTGCATGATACTATAATAGGGGGACATTACTTTGCATGATATTTAGGGAGACACATGTCATTATACATTTGTTCAAGCCCATAGAATGTACAACACCAAGAGTGGACCCTAATGTAAACCATGGACTCTAGGTGAAAATGGTGTGTTAATGCAGGTTTATCAGTATTACAAAGTACTGCTCCAATGGGGGATGTTGATAATGGGGAGGCCGCGCATGTGGAGGCAGGGATTGTAAGGGGAATGTCTGCGCCTTCTGCCCCATTTTGCTATAATCTAAAACTGCTCTAAAAAGTAAAGACTTTTAAAAAGGGGGAAAGGAAATTCTGATACATGCCGCAACACAGATGAACCTCAAGGACATTATGCTAAGGGTAGTAAGGCAGTCACAAATGCCAAATATTGTATAATCCCACTTATATGAGGTTCCTCAAGCAGTCACATTCATTGTTGTTGTTTTTTAAGTAGTCACATTCTTAAAGACAAAAAGTAGGGAAAGGTGGCTGCCAGAAGCTACAGGAAGGAAATGGGAGTTATTGTTTAATGGTACAGAGTCTGAGTTTTAGAGACAGACGGCAATGATGGCCACACAACAATGTGAATGCACGTAATGCCACTGAACTGTATGCTAAAACATGGTCAAGATGGTAAATTTTATGTTATATGTATTTTACTACAATAAAAAGAAAACTGGAAGGGAAAAAAACAGGTTACAGGCTGGACTGGCTATCCCAGCTGTAGGAAAAAAAATAAATGAACAAACTACGTATAACATGGCTGAATCTCAAGAAACTATGTTGAGTTTAAACAAAGTCAAAGTTAACTATACATAATATGGCCCCTATAATAAGCAAAACTAATCAATATAGGAATATGTATATGTAAAGTTTTTTACCCTCAAACAAAGGGATAAAAGATACAAAATTTAGGGTAGTGGATCTCACTCATGGAGAGAGAAGGGGACAGAATGGGGGAAGAGTACAGGGAATCAGTACTTTGTTCCCATGTCAGAGCTGAATACAAATCATTGCATGGCTATGCTACATTTTATTCCTCCATCAGTGATGGGCAAGTGGGTTGTTTTTACTTTTGGCTGTTATGAACAATGATGCTAGGAACTTTTGTGTACAAGTTTTTATGTAGACATATGTAAACATTTGTTTCCTCTTGGGTACACGCCTAGGAGTCGAACTGTTAAGCCATATGGTAATTCTACATTTAACTTTTAGAGAAATAGCCAAACAGTTTTACACAACAGCTGCACCATTTCATGTTCCCACCAGCCATGTCTGAGGATTCCAATGTCAGCACTTGTTATTTTCTGTTTACTTTATGATAGCTATTCTAGGAGTAGAAAGACGTCTCTCATAGCGGTTTTCCATGAGGCATGTGCCTTTCATGTGCTTATTGGCTACCTGTATAATCTTCTTTGGAGAAATGCCTACACAAAACTTTTGCCCATTTTTCTAATTGGGTTGTCTTTGTTACTGAATTGTTATTTATATATTCTAGCTACTAAACCCTTAACAGATGCATAATCGGTAAATAATTTCTCCCATTTTGTGGGCTATTTTTTTGCTTTCTCAATAATGTCTTTGGTTTGTTTGTTTGTTTGCTTTTTAGAGACAGGGACTCACTCTGTCACCAGGGTGCAGAACAGTAGTTCCCTGTAACCTCAAATTCTTCTCCTCAAGCAATACTCCTGCTTCAGCCTCTCCAGTAGCTAGGATTACAGACACATACCACCAGGCTCAGCTAATTTTTTATTTTTTGTAGAGACAGGATCTCACTATGTTGCCCAGGGTAGTCTTAAACTCCTAGCCTCAGGCAATCTTCCTGCCTCAGCCTCCCAAAGTGCTATGATTACAAGTGTGAGCCACAGCGCTAGCTGATAGTATCTTTTGGTGCACAGAAATTTTTAATTTTAATGAAGTTCATTTTACTCTTTTTTATGTTATTTGTGCTTTTGGTATCATACTGAAGAAACTGTAACTTAATCCAAGGTCACAAAGATTTACAACTGCATTTTTTTCTAAGAATTTTATAGTTTTACATTTATATCTTTGGCCAATTTTGAGTTAATTTTTATAGATGGTGTAAGAGGTCCACCTTCATTCTTTTGCATGTAGATATACCCAATTGTCCCAGAGCCATCTGTTAAAAGAATACTCTTTTCCTCCACTGAGTAGTCTTGCCATCCTTGTCAAAAATAACCATAAATTGATCTTTTGACCCACTTCTGAGAATTTATCCTTAGGAAATAATCCAAATGTTGGGCAGTGCCTGTGGCTCAAAGGAGTAGGGCGCTGGCCCCATATACCAGAGGTGGCGGGTTCAAATCCAACCCTGGCCAAAAACTGGAAAAAAAATAGAAAGAATCCAAATGAAAAAAAGCTGTATATGCACACATGATAAATGGAATAATATCTCCAACAGTGGTTCCCCCCCCCCAAAAAAGAATGTCCCCTGACAACCGGGAGATGATTAAGTACTTTATGGTAAATTAATAGGATGCTGTATCAGACAAATATTAAAAACTATAATTCCAAATACCATACCAATATGAAAAATGTTTTATGTAAATTTAAATAATTTTAAAACAAGTATATACAATTATACTACTACAATATAAAAGATATATACATGTGGGGAGGCACCTATGGCTCAAGGAGTAGGGTGCCGGCCCCACATGCCAGAGGTGGCAGGTTCAAACCCAGCCCCGGCCAAAAACTGCAACAAAGAACTGCCATGAGAAAGCAGTGGTCCCTGGCTATGTAGTAAGCCAGGAGAAAACAAAGTTGTCACGTGCCTGAGTGAGCTGTGAACCCCTTTACTGAAATATACAATTGCAATATGCGAGTTTATTCTCTGCGACATCGCTTCTCCATGAGACCCTGTTGGCAACATTCTGGTGCGGCAAGCAGGGTTCAAAGGGTGTTCTTCATGAGGATAGGCTGGCCAGCTTCTTCAGGGAGACCCTACTTCAACACTCCGGACTAAGCGGTGGAAGCTTAGGGTAAACCACGGACGACTGAAACCAAAGAGGTAACAGTCGCACTGGGTAGGCGAGGCTCTGTGGCATAAATAAAGGGAAAATGGGTAATAATTCCTTGGATCAACAAGGGAGGTAGGAATAGCTCTTAAAAGAGCACACTGGTCAGCACCTGTGGCTCAGTGGGTATGGTGCCAGCCCCCTGTGCTGGAGGTGGTGGGTTCAAACCCAGCCCCGGCCAAAAACACACACACACACACACACACACACTAAAGATATATACATGTGATCAAGGGCTGGGAGAAAACATAAGACAGTGAACAAAGAGGGTGTGATGCACTGCTAGGGTTAGAAAAGATTTATAGGTTTAGTGCCAATAGCTCAAGTGGCTAGGGAGCCAGCCACATACATAGGAGCTGGCGGGTTCGAATCCAGCCCGGGCCCACCAAACAACAATGACAACTACAACCAAAAAATAGCCAGGCACTGTGGCAGGTGCCTATAGTCTCAGCTACTTAGGAGGCTGAGGCAAGAGAATCACTTAAGCCCAAGAGTTTGAGGTTGCTGTGAGCTGTGATGCCACAGCACTCTACCCAGGGCGACAGCTTGAGATGCTGTCTCAAAAAAAAAGGAAAAAAAGGATTTATAGAAAACTAAAATCTTAAAGGTTTAAGATTTTAGAAACAAATATACAAAACCAAAATGATGAAATATGTAAGGGCTGATAAAGCTTGTGCCTTATTCCTCCTTCCCTTAATCATATTCTTCTCAAATTAGTTAAAATTGAGCTCCTTCAGGTGGCTTTTGTTTCTTCTTTAAAAGGCTCAGCTTCTTCTCAATGCTGAAAGGCTGAGAACTCTCTCAAGTGGCTAAAGCTACCTCAATGCTTTCTTGGTTCATTTCTGTGGGAGCCAAGAGTGAGGGGATGTGAGGGATGCAAAAGAAGAGTATTCACCAGGAAGTAATAAGAGGTAACAGGCAAACAAAGGCAGGTGGGTTCCAGACCATAAACCACTGCTCTCCCAGCTCACAGCCCCACATTTCATGAGCCATGAGCTTGCCCTGCCCCCAAAGAGGTGAGAAGTACACCACCTGTCTGCCCATCAGCGCCCCATCCGCAAGAATAGACTTCTCCTTTATCCGTTAGGAACAGACTATGATCCTGACCACAAGCGACCTAGAAGACAAACAGAAAGGGTGATGCACCCCAGGAGCCCAGTTAATGGAGCCAAGTGACCATTCCTCACCACTCCTGAGAGCCGGAGAGATGGCCCAGGCAGGCTGCCCCACATGCCTCTAATGCATGTTCTTTCCCAAACCACCACAGCCTTACTTTGTTTCCCACTCTCCTGAAACTGCTCTTGCTAAAATAAAGGGCACATCTCCTAGGGGACAAATGCAAGAGCTCTTCCATCCATCCTCTTATACCTCTGAGGAACCACCCTTCCATAATCCTTTTCCTCCTGTCCCTCTCTTCCGCTCTCTGATGGCTCCCTGCCTTGTCTGAGCTCAGCCTCTACCTTGTAACCTTTCGTGCTGGCATCTTTCCCCAAGGCCTGTCTGCTGCGCTCTTCTCTCCCCACTCCTCACACTACCTTGGGAGACCACACCCATTCCCATAGCTTAACTTTCACCTCTACACTGCAGTCTCAACAACTCTACTGAGTTTCAGACTTATTTTTCTGTCTGCCTAATGAAAAGCATCACTTACTGAACACTTATTATGAGGGGCACTGTGCCAAGTCCATAACCAAAACCCCTAGGAAGAAGCTGAATCTCAGAGAAGTTTGATAACTTGCTCTAGTCACTTAGTTGTAAGTAAAGGAGGAGGGACTTGAACTCGCATTCACGTTACTTTGATGCCTGTGCAAGAGGCACCACACTCTACTGTACGTAGTCTTAGAACCAAATGCAACTTGCCCACCCCAACCTCAAAGCTATTCCTCTACAACTCCCCACCTGGGTTAAGAACATGAGCACACACTCGACTGCCTACTGAATCCTCCTTGCCTCCTTCCAGCTCACTCCCTACCCATCCAGTCAAACCCAAACAGCCTGCCAATTCTCCTTACATGTCTCTCCCAGCTGCCCCTTCTCAACTGGCCCTCATCACCTTTTCCCCCAACTCTACTCAATACCATGACCAAATTATCTTTCTAAATGTCACTTGCTCTGCTTAAAACCTTTGCCCTCAACTGTCAAAAGATGAAGTCTAAACTCCTTAAGACCCTGTAGCATTCACTCTCAGTCTGTCTCTCAGACTATTTCATACCACTCCCCTCAAGTACATTAAACTCCAGCCACAAACTGCACACCCTCCATACATCAAAGTTTCAGGCCACTCCCTTCCCTCTGCCTTAAAACCTTTCCCATCATCTACTGCTGGCCTGTCCAGTAAGCTCCCCTGCCACTGCCTCCATGACGCCCTCTCTCCCTTCCATCCCAACCCTGGTAGACTTGACAGTTCCCCTTTCGGTGTTTTCACAACACTTTCTGTGTGCATTCATATGCATATTTAAATATTTGTTATAAGTACCTACCATGTGCCAGGCATAGCTCTGGGGATAAGAATAAAATAGTGAGCAAGATACAGCCAGCCTGGAAGACCACAGCACTAAGCACCCTGTGATACAGCCAGCTCTCAGCCTGTCCTCCTATTTAATACTTTCTCCCCAAGTCTTATTTATTTATTTAGAGACAGATTCTCATTTTGTCACCCTGGGTAGAATGCCATGGCACCATAGCTCATAGCAACCTCAAACTCTTGGGCTCAAGCAATTCTCTTGCCTCAGTCTCCCAAGTAGCTGTGACTACAAGCACCCACCACAATGCCTGGCTGTTGTTAGAGATGGGGTCTTACTGCAGCTTGGGCTGGTCTTGAACTCCTGAGCTCAAGCAATGCACCCGCCATGGCCTGCCAGAGTGCTAGGATTACAGGCATGAACCACCTCCCCCAGCCCTATCTCCCCAAATCTTTTTTTTTTTTTTTTTTTTTTTTTTGGGCCGGGGCTTCAGGTTTCCCCCTGGGTAGAGTGCCGTGGCATTACAGCTCACAGCAACCTCCAACTCCTGGGCTCAAGCGAGTCTCCTGCCTCCGCCTCCCAAGTAGCTGGGACCACAGGCGCCCGCCACAACGCCCGGCTATTTTTTGGTTGCAGCCGTCATTGTTGTTTGGCTGGTCCGGGCTGGGGATTCGAACCCGCCACCTTAGGTGTACGTGGCTGGCGCCTTAGCCGGTTGAGCCATAGGCGCCGAGCCTATCTCCCCAAATCTTAAGAAACTTTGCATCCCTAATGCCTAGTATAAATCCTGGCTTGTAGGAAATAGGCTATAACTTTTACTAAAATAATTTCTTAATTCATAAAACCTCCCCAACAAATTTGCCATCACTTCAGCCAACTTTCAACGTTTTAAAAGCACTTCCAGAGATAGGAAGAGCAGCTCTCAGCCCATGTCTCTTACCTGGACCACCTGTCCATCGAAGTCCTGCATTCTATGGATTTTATGACTTTCACTGCAGCCAGCAGCAAAATGGAGAGAAGCAAGAGATATGGTCATGACAAGCACTGGGCAGTCTGGCCATCCCTGGTCCCCCTAACTGGTGGTCCACCCCCACATGTACACCCTAACTGTTAAGCGAACTCTCTAGATCAAACACAAGGCAGAACTACACCTGAGCATGAAAGTAAAACAACAAAACAAAATCCTAGGTGATTTTCATATGCAGCCAGACCTGAGACTGATGTTTAGACCTACCAACATAATAAAAGGAACTAGAGCAGTGGTTCTCAACCTGTGGGTTGCGAGTCCTTTGGGGGCTGAACAACCCTTTCACAGGAGTCACCTAAATACAACTTGCATATCAGATATTTACATTACAACTCTTAACAGTAGCAAAATTACAGTTATGAAGTAGCAACGAAAATAATATTATGGTTGGGGGTTACCACAACATGAGGAACTTTATTAACGGGTTGTAGCATTAGGAAGGTTGAGAACCACTGAACTAGAGGGAAATTTGTTTAAACACTGAAAAGAACTGAAGTGAAAGGGGATTTTAAAAAATTAATTTGGTAAAATAAACAATTAACTTACAAAAATTAATTCAAAGAAAATCTACATGCAGCAACCAGTCTCATCTGCCAACATCACATCCCACCAAGCCAATACACAGAGTCCTGCCTGGAAAAGGACAGCACTCCCCACATCTCTGCCAAATCCTCCCAGCTCCCTCTCAAGCAAGCCTTGTCCTGCTCTGTGGGTTTATCACATGGTAACCACTCAAGAAACATTTAGTGGTTACATAATATGGGAAAGGGATTATCCTCTTGGGAACTCACCTGTAAATTTCATCTTCGACCACCTTTCTTCCACACTGCCCATAAGAATTATTTCCCATACTGAAGACTAAAAAGAACACCATCAATTAAATAAGTTCCACAGGTTCGTAAGATCCTAGAATGACAGGTCTGGAAGAGGGTCTCAACAGTGGTCCTAGTCCTAGTTAGCTCACCCTAAGTGCTCCTTGGTTTCCTTTTCCAACATTCCCAGCCTCTGTGGGCATGCCCACCAGCATGTAGGGTCTAGACCCACCTCCCGAGTCCTAGTTCTCCCTCTCGGGAACTACACATTCTGAGACTAGCACATGATTCCCTGCACTTGTCACTAGGTTGCCCTTGATGCCAGATTCCCTCTTGAAAGAGCTCCTGAACACCACCTTCACTGTCTTTTCCTATAAAGCACACTTAGCTGTTCCATTTTCAAATGAAATTTGAAAAATGTAGTTACATTGGCCTTACCCTAGAAATAACCCCTCATCTGGAGAGGTTGTCACCCAGAGACCTGGACTTTGAAAGCCCCGCACCACTCGGAAAAAGTGTGAGCAAATAGCCTTCTTTTGGTACCAACAGAAAAACACATCTATCCATACAGCCCAGCTCAGTGACTTTACAGCAGGGTGGTAGGCCTTGATAACCCTGCCTGGGTGCGCTGTCACATTTATAAATACCTGTAATTTTCCAAAAATTACAGAGAGCAGAGCACATAAGATTTAGCAAGGTCTGTCCAATACAGCTCTCTTGAGCAATCCTACTGATCTGCTCAGGAAATGCCAACTTTCACTAATTGAATGTGGCTCAATTAAACAAGCTACTCAGGCCCAACAACAAGGCTCCATTTCACAATAAAATGGTCCCACACCCCTCCATGAACTTTCAGCAGGTCAACTCACCTCCCTCGCTGTCTGTCAGGACAAGGGAGTGTGCTCTGCCACAGGAAACCTGCAGCACTCGTGTCTCCTGAGGTCTGTCCAGAGGCAGTGGGATGGGCGAGGGCTCCAACACATACTCGTAGCCTCTAGCTGAACAGAGTACATGACACAGCATGTCACAGCATTTCCAACATTAGAAATCCTGGTGTCCAACCCCCACACTGCCACATAGGAAGAAGCGAGTCAGAGGTAGGAAATGTTAAACAAGGAACTTAGTTCAAATAAAAGCATTTTCCTCCTATAATGCCCACTAAAATTTCTTAGCAAGGTAAAGAAGAGCAATACTGTGTGATAACATTTACATAAACAAGAAACAAAATAATATGATTATGAAGAAATTAATATGCTTGCAGATGTGTTGAATCTCTCTAGAGTCTAGAAAGTATAAACTGGAAGCCATTAACATAGGCCGTCTCCAGGGACAAAGACTCTAGGGCTGGGAAGACAGAGGCAGAAAGCAGACTTCTCACTGTATATTCTACCTCACCTTTAGGATAATGAACTATGAAAATATATTCTCTATTTAAAAAAAGAAATTTAATTTAAAATTTTTATTTTTTAATTTTTTTCTTTTTTTTTGAGACAGAGTCTTACTATGT